TAAAATAATTTTAAAAGTCTTCTCTAGTTTTCTATTTTATCATTTTATTTTATTTTATTTATTTTACATTTTATGACTGCTACTCTTTTCACTACCAGCTGGCTTTCTCACTCTCCACTATTGGTTAGAAGAAGAAAGCAAAATACAGGTTTTGGAGAAAGGGGATGGTGAGCTGAAGAACGACCCAAAATCCAGGAGAGATGCAGAACTAGGTACCCATAGGGATGTTGCAAAAGTGATCTTTGTCACAACAGATTATCTCTGTCCTCTTTTCGGAAGCCAAGATGTTGATGTCTTCACATTTGGTCATACATGACAGTTTTGAATAATGGTACATACTTTTCCCTGAGGAGGTGAAATAGTGAGAATACAACTAAAATGATTATGTTTCCTCCTACCAAATTCCTAGGAACAGCCTCTCTTCAGAGCCTCGCTAACCTTTCTTTAGGTCCAGATGAGCTACCAAGGCTGAGTCTACTAATTACTGACCCAGGGAATGGATTTCATTTCCTAACCAATAAGGGACATCAGCTTCATCTTCACTCGATATTATGTTAAGGAAAAGTCGACTTTTGCCCTCCCTTCTATAGGACCACCCCATCTTTACTGATCCCACTCACCCACACACTTTGAAGGCAAAGAATAGCCTGTCTCTAAGGGAAGGAGGTAGTTATATTTAGCCACTCTGTCCTCCATAGTACCTCTGTTTGTAAGGACGTAGATGTTCTCAACAGCACAGGACTGATGGTGTTTTGGGATGCAGAAACTCATTACATCGTAGCATGTCCCAAGATGAAATTTTGAACATTTGTAACATATTCTTAAAGCCTCTGCCAGACACAGAAAGGGGTGTTTAAAGAATATGCTCTGAGGAATGTTTACCAGGACTGGGGGCTTCCCCCCAGAAACTAACCATTGCCTGGTGGCTCCTAACCTTTCTTAGGCCTCCCACTCCTTTGATAATCTGTAAAAGATAACATACATACATAATCAAATGTTGCATTTGATTTCAAAAGGTCAGATCCTGTAAAATTTATCTATGGACCCCAAGTAATGAACCCCTTGTCTAAATCTAGATGATTTTGTCCAGTCATGAGGAAAAGGGAGAAACAAAGGGGATTTTAGCCTCTTTACTCCAAGAAATGGACTAAATTGGTCTGGGAGAAGATAAAACTCCTAGGATTCTATAATAAGAATGGATTATAGCCCCTCTGAAGATGGAGGGGAGGTTTATTTCTAAACATGTCACAAATTACCCATTTACTAAGGACTTTAGAGTAGCCACAGTCGTACCTGTGTGATATCTCTGAAGGTCACCTATGAAAAGAAGAAAAGTCTTCCTGTCATCATCTCACATATATCTGCCAAAGTCCCGAAGCCAATTTTGTAAATTTTCCCTCCTCCAGCATCTGTTCATCTCTTAACTGAAAACCAGCTCCCTCTCTGCACTTACCATTATTCATGTTGACCAGAGAGACTATGCCCACCAGAAACAGAACAAACATCCTGGGACTTATTTCACGTGCAGTTCCCTGAGGAATGTGCCAGTTGAGCTCCTCTCCTTGAGTTATTCATCTAAATTATATAATCATAAAATTTCAGGAACAGACAGTACCTCGGTGTTCCCAGAACAAAACCATTAACTGGGTCTCACTACCCCTAAGGCATCTATTTTAAAATTCTATTCAATGATGAGCCGATATATACATATATTCATTGTTGCAGAGCTAAGCCTTGAGCTATGCAAGTGAAGTCAAATTTCTCTCTCACACTTTAATGTTTCAGGTATATTGAGACTGGATTTGGACACCCTAGTTCCTTTCAGCTCTCTTCATTAACCTACTCACTCTCCTCAGAATAGTATCAGATTTTTCTTTGTCTCACCTAGACTGAGGCACCAGTATATAAGCTCAGAATTCTGGGTGTAGTCTGAATGTGAGGGAAGCATTGGAGTGCCCTTTCTGTGCTATAAGGATGGAAGTTTCAGGAAAAAGACTAGCAGAGGTGAAATTTATCTAGTTTACCTTCAGATGGTTTCCTTTTGTAATTAAATAATTACTAAACACATACCAGATGCCAATATCATAGGAAAAGAAAATCCCAAGAAAAGCAGGACACAAATTAGTGGCCTCACAGAGTTTGGAGTCTAGTTTTAGAGACCACAAGTACATCAAGAACAGCTGGCTATGAGGGCTGAGATGAGAAACATTCCAATTTGACTGCCTAACCAGGGAAAGCTTACCTAAAAGGGAGTGGTTGGGCAGGACTTTTCAGGCAAGAAATGTGTTAGTTAAAGGAGTAGGGACAGGCACTCAAAGGAACACATATGTCAAAGTACAGAGATGTCAAACAACCTGACACACTGTGATGAGAGTGGTCATGTGGTTGCATGTGGATGAGCAAGAAAATAAGGCACAGAGATGCATCTTGTTGGAGGCGATGGCATAAGGGTAAAGAAAGGAGCTCCAGGGGACGATGCACTGGTCTTGCTGCTGAGATTACTAATCTCAAGGATGTAGAATGAAACTTCTTCCTCACTATTGTGCACTCACAAGATATCAGTGAAAACAATCATTTTTGCCAGGCTCAGGAATGATATTAAAATATCCCCTCTTCTGCACCAATATTGAACTCTAGAGGAGACACGTCCCTTTATCTCAAACTTATGTTTGCTACACATAGTGGTTTGAATCCTGGCTCTCCTGCTTGCCAACTAAGTGATTTTGGATGAGTTACTCATGTTGAGAATAATTTTCATATCTTATAGGATTGGTATGGGGATTATTTTAAAGCTTGTGAAAGGAGAAAGCTCATATTTATTAAGACCCTGGAAAATATCAAGCTCTCACTCCCTGTGCAGTGCCTAGAATTTCAGGGGAAGCCTGGATATTTTTGCTAGGGAGGCATCAGAAAATTTAGCCACAGGGAGCCACATGTAGGAAAGGGCAACTGACTAAAGAGACAGTAGGGTAAGCTATTGCTGTGGTTTTGTTATTCAAGGGGCAAGAGTCTGGCAATTACGATGGTATCAGGAGAATCCTGTCAGGGGTTAACTTTCACCAAGCCTTATTTCCATTTGGCTTCGGGTGCTGGAAAAGATGAAAAGATTAATAACAGTCTCTTCTAGAATGGACTCTGAAGACTGACAGTCAGATTCAGAACAAACTGTCTAATTTGACTTGGATGGGTGAGCATCTAGAATCTAATCGAGTTTTGGTTCACTGAGATGGGTGAGAATTGGATCCCATTCTCAGAGCTCAAGGTATGATCCATATGCTGATGACGCCTATTTTTTTTTTTTTTTATCTCTACCTCAGACCTCTATTTTGAGTTCCAGACTCATGTCTACAAATACCCATTCCACTTTAGAAGGCTCACAAGTACTACAATCTCTGATGTCTCAAAATGAAACTGTAATCTTCCTGATTCACTAAACCTGCTCCTACGTCAGTGTTTAGGATCTTAATAAACCTGGAAATTATTCTTTATCAATCCCTGTGCCCGATCCTCAAAGAGAATCTCATGGCAAGTCCTATCCTTTCTGCCTGCTAACTTCTCACAAGGGTTTATTTTTCTTTCTCCAATGCCACTAATATAATCCAATCCATCATCATCTCTTGCCTAGACCAAGCAATAGCCTCATTTTTTTTTTTTTTTGGCCTCATGTCTTCTACTGCTGCTGCTTTATAGTCTGTTCACCAAAAAGTAGTCAGAGAACCCTTTTACAGGTCACAGATGCCACACTCCTGCTCAAAACTTCCAATGATTTTTCATTACATGTAGGAGGAAATCCAAAGCTTCTCCTATAAGCTGTAAAGTCTTCTCTGAGCAACAGCCAACTCTCCAATCTCATTTCCAACCAAATTACCCTTGCTCACACGAATGTCATCCCTCTGAAAAGTATTTCCTGACGAATCTCTAGAAAATGGCAACATCAATGCTCCATCCTTTTCTCTCCTTTACTTTTTTCTTTTTATTTTATGCCTATTATTTTTAATTTTTAAAATTTTTTAAAATTTTAATTTTTTTATGGTGACATTGGTTAATGAAATCCAGTAAGTTTCAGCTATACAATTCAACAGTAAGGCATATATATTAAATAAAGTCTTCAATAATCCTTCTAAGAGTAAACACTTTCTATCACCCTTATTTTTAGGGGCTTTTGCTGCACTGCTTAGATCCTTTTACTAGATCTATCATCTTCTCACTCA